GGACAAAAATCAAAAGATTAACCTACATCAATGTCAATAAATTGTCAATATTATATGTGTGCATATAAACACTATTTCCCAATTTCATTGAATAAAGTTTCCTAGATAAACCTTTTCACAGTTTGGTACTTTTTTGTGAGGGGATGGGAGGTTCAAAAAATTGGTCAAAAATATAAAGCACTTTAGTGTGAAACGTTTGAGACAGAATGGGAAATTTGTGTATTATTTTATCCAAAATTAAAAAAAGAAAGAAAGAAAGAAAAGGGAAAGAATGCATTCCTTGTTGACAAGCTTGAATTCTAACAACACTATAGACGGAATTGCTATAGCTCCGCAACAAAAATGTGACATACGAAAGCCTAGCACCAACTGTTCAAAAGTTATGGCCATGGTTAGAGTTGGGTAAATTTTTGCAAAAGTGGGTGAAACTCAAAGGTCAAGGTCAAGAGGTCAATTATGATGCCACCCAAAAGAAAGGTCCCGCCACAAGGAATACACATATGAAATATGAAAGCCATAGCTCCAACCAATCAAAAGTTATGTGCAAGGTTAAAGTTTCTGCGGACAAAGAGACAAAGAGTCAGACAGACAAACGGACAGGACAAAAACTACATCCCCCCGAATCTTCGATTACGGGGGCATTAAAAACTCGGGGGGGGGGGGGATTGACACCGTCACTATGGAGTCTACATTGTGTTCCTGTTGAGAAGTTTGTAAAAAAATAAATTAAAACATTTCAGAAAGTTTTGTTTCTTCTTTTGTAAAAAATATAAAACTTTAACCTTGCCCATAACTTTTGATTGGTTGGACTTGGATTGGTTGATTATGACTTTCATATTTCACATGTGTATTCCTTGTGACAAGACCTTCCGTTGGGTACCAACATATTTGACCTCTTGACCTTGCAAATTGGAGTTTGAACCACTTTTGCAAAAATTTACCCATTTTTATCCTTGGTCATAACTTTTTAACAGTTGGTGCTAGGGCTTTCATATTTCACATGTGTATTTATTTTGACAAGACCTTTTCGTTGGTGTAGATATTTTTGACCTTTTGATCTTGACCTTACAGTTTGACCCACTTTTAAAAAACTTTAACTATAATTTCTGAATGGTTGGTGCTTTGACATTCATATTTACCAGTACGTTATATCCATTGACACAAGTCCTTTGTTTTGTCAACAAAATTTTTGATCTCTTTACCTTTGAGTGTGACTTGCATTTGAGAAACTTTAACCTTTGTCATAAGCTGCCATACAGGGGCATCAGTGTTTCGCAAACACATCCTGTATATGCTAGTAAATGAAAAAAGAATGAGGGCGCATTTGATTTCGATCTGACCGCACTTGAAAAAAGTAAAAAAAATTCGTTGATCCTCACACGATATTTTATCATGCTATTGATAGAGGGTTCCTGTAATATAAAAAAGTGAAATATTTGCCTGATACTGTGTTTTGATTTTGCTGATAGATGTTATGAAATATAGTTAAATGAGTCATTTGGTACGAAATAATTTTATTCCCCCGTAATCGAAGATTCGGGGGCAGATAGTTTTTGTCCTGTCCGTCCATCTGTCTGTTTGTCCGCAAAAACTTTAACCTTGCCCATAACTTTTGATTGGCTGGAAATATTGCTTTCATTTTTCACATGCGTATTCCTTGTGACAAGACCTTTCTTTGGGTACCATCATATTTAACCTTTTGACATTGACCTTCGAATTTCCAAAATTTAACCCAACTTAAACTTTGGCCATAACCTTTGAACAGTTGGTGCTGGAGCTTTCATACTTCACAGGTGTTATCCTTGACAAGACCTTCCTTTGAATACCAACAACTATGATCCTTTGAACTTGATTTGGAGTTTGACGTACTTTTGAAAAACTATATCCTTGGCTGTAACTTTTGAACGGTTGGTGCTATGGCTTTCATACTTCAAATGTGTATTCTTGTGAGAAAGCCTTTCCTTGGGCACCATTATCTTGACCATTTGTCCTTGACCTTGATGTCTGACTTACCTTTGGAAAACTTAAACCTTTTCCATATCTTTTCAATGGTTGCTGCTATAGGGCTTTCATATTTCACAGGTATATTCATCGAGACAAAACCTTACTTTGGGTACCAACATAATTATCTGATTTGCATTTTAGAAAATTTAACCTTCGCTATAAGTTGCCATACGGGGGCATCAGTGTTTCGCAAACACATCTTGTTTTTTTCCCAAAAATTTGCTTTCTCCGGGTCATTTTTTCACTGTCATCAAACGCCACATCACAGCCAGAATGTACAATCCTCTCCCATTCTGGAGAGGGAGCTAGATGCGGACTCCGTACGTACCGTGGCCTGAGACAATGATCTCAAAAAAAAAAAACAAAAAAAAAAAAACGAGCAAACATTTGTGAAATAATGTAGAGATCCAGAGACCATATATTTTTCAACACACACACACACACACCCTTGTTTGTAAATCCAGCCAACTGACTACATTTGAAATTTTACCTTCATCTCGCTTCACTGATTTAGAGGCTTGAAAAAGAGAAAGTAAGACCAGAATATACCGAGGTTAACCTTGGGATTTCTCTGTATCTACAGGAATTTTTGATATCTTTTACTTTAAGTATATTGAAATTCGACATGAATCTCGCTACATTTTTACACTTATTGAACACACACGTGCAAATCAGTACAGCTAATTCAACCGTCAATTCACTACAAGGTTATAAACACACAGGAAAATCGCTACAGCTAGTGATCATGTTTAATTATTTAATTGCACCGTTTTTTAATTTTATTTACTGGTATAAATGGTGTATGTATGTACAAGACAGTACACAAGATCAAAGGAAAAGATTGGATATACGGCAAAAATGTATGTTATCAGAGCTGTTCCCATGTTGACATATGCATGTATACAGCATGTACAGCGCCGGTCTAACATAAACTCTAATTAACATTAATCTCAGAGTCGATAATTGAAGATATCTTTTAATAACCAAGGACATCATCAATTAATTTTTTATTTTTAATAATGGAATGAACGATACTTTCGTTTAATGAAAGAATTGGGGGAAAAAAATCTTTTTTTAAGACAATCTCTAAATTGATTCTTGCGAGTTAATTTTCCGCCACTGTATTGATAGGCCTATCTTCGATTCAATTGATAAGCGCATCAAATCAATTAATGCTCCCCTTTATTGAATAGTTGCGCGTATAAATTCAGCTGATGAGAGCAGTGGCGTAGCTAGGGAAAAAATTACTGGATTAAAAAAAAAGGCAAGGGGTCTGGGTCCGACTTGAGGCCCTCAGCGTGTCCAGGGCAAGCAGGGCCCTGGTTGGGGGCCCAGGGGGCGAAGCCCCCGGAAGCTCCTGTAATATAATGGTTTTCTATTTTTTATTATCGTAATTTTACTATGTATGAAGAAAAAAACCGAGTTTTGACAGAATCCACAAAATCTGTTTCTTCAAAAGCATTTCCGTTAGGATGAAGGTATTTCATATTCATCAGTGAAATACTGCAGATCATACTTTTATCATCCGTTGAATAAAACTGATATTTTCACACGTATTATTTTTACAATCAGAAATGCAAAGTGCTACGTGGCAGCACAAGTTCGCCTTTTTAAAAATCAATGTACAAAAAAATATCAAATCTGTCATATTTTAACGTTCAAAATACCATTAAAGTTCAATTTTAATTAAAGTTGGCTATTTGTTCAAATTTACTGAGCCCTTTATTTCATTTATTTTTTTTTTTCATTTCAAATGCACCTTACCTTCATCGCAATATTGTTTAGAATATTAATAGAGAGACAGTTATAGTAGAGAATAGAAAAAATAAATAAAAAATTATAAACAGAAAAATCGAATATATTTCACAAGAGAGTTTTTTTTTAATATTTATAATTTCAGGGGTGCGATATCCAACTACAGACATTGAATATCCATTTAAAATGCCATTACATTTTCAATTATTGATTGTTTTTAAAATGACGTACTCGTGCAACGCAGTAAATTTGGACTTCAAAATACCAGGGGAATGAAAAGTTTATATAAGTGCTTTAAATTTAAGTTTTTATTAAAAAAAAAATTGTCCTTGATATTCAAAAAAAAAAAAAAAAAAAAGATAATAATAAAAATAAATAAATTAGATAAAACGAGAAGGAAACTGCATCAAAAATCCATTAAAAAGCTGAAAATTTTATGGTTAATATGTATGAATAAAATAAATCTGTAAAAGCCTAAGTCTTTTTCTCTTCAAATTTCATGTATTTTTTATTTTTATCGGTAATTGAGCTTTCGAAATCATATGTTGTTGAAAATTTGTGTATTCATTTGCGTTGTTGCGTAAAGGGCGCTATGCCACTGGAGAGGAATAACTGATTTGATGCTCTCACTCATTCAGAAAATGTATTTCAAGCAGTATCCAAAGCATGTCTTGTTGTATCTTTTTTTTCCATGTAACATCTGTGCAAGATTCGTTAAGCTAAAAACTAGTCCCCTACTGGTAAAAACGGTTCTTTCCTCAACTGTCTGCCTGTCTGTCCCTCTGTAAGTCTGTCCCATGGCACTTGGTTTTCCGCCCTTTTTCTACAGCTTGCAAATATTGAACTGATGTTTGGTATGTGAGTCTACCTTTACTAAGTTACAGATCAAGTTTTAATTTCCGCTTTCAAGAGCTTTGACGGAATTACGGGCATTTCATTTTTTAGGAGAACCAGATAACATTTGCTAGCATTGCATATGCAATACTCTCAAAATGCTTGTTAAAGTTACGAAAAAAGCTAAGCACCTAAATGGTCACTTTTGCTGATAATGAAAGAAAACGCAGCATCCGAAGCAAGACTGCTATTATCAGCAGTCAATATTAGTTGCTCGGCATTAAGACCGCGGAACGTTAACTGGCAAAATTGGAAATATGCAGCATACACCATTTCCATCTGTTGCAGTCAAAACATTTAATGATAGACAATGAAATGGGCGGGTACAATTTGACACGGACGTCCGAGAAAACATTGGATTGAAATTCTAGTTTGAATTCATTTTCAATCCACCTGAGCTGGTTTTCAAACGTAAAGTGTGAATGTATTATCCAAATGACAAATAATTTCAATTCCCAAATACCTGTTGTTTGAAATTCATATTTATATGAGTTTTTTAACCTATGATTTTAAGGACACGTAAAAGTCATAGAAGACAGAGATTATTTTTTCAGGGGACGGTCATTTGATTCTAGAGGGGGGGGGGGGCTGTCAAAAATTGTGAAGTCAGGTCATGCCTTCACATGACAGAATATATTTATTTCTAGGATGACAAGAGCTTTTTTTTAATTTTGTTTTGTCTTCACTGAAAAATGTTTGAAAAACAAAAACAGGGAGGGGAAGTCCAAACTTCAAGAAAACTTTCTTATTTATTTCCGAGATCCCCCCCCCCCCCCCCAGCACACACATACACATACCAAACAGAAATCAAATATTTGTTCCTTTATATTTCTTTTAAAACACTGGACAGAAAATTCTGATTTATATCAATTTCAACTATCTCCGAAATTGAAATTATTTGTCTTCTGAGTAACACCATGCATTCTAGAGTATCTGAGGTGGATTGAAAATTAATTTCAAACTAGAATTTCAATCCAATGTTTTCTCGGACGTCCGTGTCAAATTGTACCCGCCCATTTCATTGTCCATCATTAAACGTTTTGACTGCAACAGATGGAAATGACGGAAGCTGCATATTTCCAATTTTGCCAGTTAATGTTCCGCGGTCTTAAGCTAGATAACTTGCGATTTATAAGTTCTTTCAAAATTTAGAGTAGTGGCATGTTTGAAATAAACATTCTTTCAGCATCGAATGTTCTTTAAATTTTTCCCGAAAAATCCCTGTGTCAAGAATCGTGTGGTCAGTTAGTTAAAAAAACAAATTCGAACGTCAATTCATCATAGTTTCAAAACAGTAAATATTCCGTGATCTGGGTAACCAAAAAAGTTAGTGGAATTAACTGTATTAATGATAATTCATTATCATTAATACCCAATGATAATCGCCCAAGTTCAAGTGCAAGTTCAGTTTATTCACCCAACCCAAAATAATAGTACATGGGATACATTTATAACATATATATATATATTTCATATAAACTGTTCAGAAGTACAATATCTATATATACAATGCAAAAACATGATATAAAATGAATAATGATAAAAATACTTCGCCGTTCCATTTTTAACCATTCTCAAGAGAAAATTCTTAAAGATTACATATAGTTATATACCCTAATGTATAGTTAAGAAGATGCGAAGACTCCCTGACCGCTTGGTGAAATTGTGTTTTAACGCCCTACTGCTCAGATTGACCGGTGGGGGAGACTTTCAATGATTTGAAAATACGCTATCTAACAAGAAGCGCTATCTGTGGTTTAGCTAGAAAATGCTAAAATGCATGCTCTAAACGGACAGGGTGTCTCAAGTCGCCTCAATACCCTTAATAGATTCAGGGCAAAGCCCAGATGATGGCGCAGAGGAGTAAAGTCCCTGAAAGCTCCGGAATTTTGACGATGCAAAGCCAGTTTATTCATAGAAGAAATTGGAGAATAGATATATTTTTGTTCTTATTCTAGTGAGGCATACAGGGCGACTCAAATTTCTCGGTACTACATTAATAGAGTATTTGAAAATTTTTTAAAGAAGATAAATCAATCATAAGTTAATGAAATAGATTATAACTTGTACATAAACAGAAGATTTAAAAGGGCGTTTTGGGGATAACATTTTTGTATAATTGTGATAATTGGTTAGAAATTTTAAATATTTCAGCAGTATTAATAATGCCATCACATTGTTGGGGCTCGAGTTAAATTCCACTGATGAGAAGAATGAATGAATTTAATTGCTGCTAGCATCAAATCAATTACTGATCTCATCAATTCAAATGATGCACGCCTTCATTTTTCTAATGTTTGCCAGCATCAATATATATATATATATATATATATATATATATATATATATATATATATATATATATATATATATATATATATATATATATATATATATATATATATATATATATATATATATATATATATAAATTTGAGGGTGTTGCAGTTCTTTTGTTATTTTCCCTAAAGTTGTAGCAGTTTAAAAGAAAAAAAAAATTAGTAACAGAAAACGAAGTTAATTTGTTTCAGATACAACGGTATATACTACACAACACAAAGTAGAGCAATATTTGAAAACTGCATATCGACTTCCAGTTTGCCATTAAACCTCATTAGTCACATAGCAAAATAAGTCTCCTTTTCTGTTTTTCAAATAGGGAATCCCCATTGTTCTGAAAAATTACCTGCTTGAAACAGAATATATTTGATATACGCATAAAGAGACAAGAATTTTCTTCAAAACTACCATTTCCGATTTTTGTTTAAAAGAGGCATATTTTTGAAAATTACAAAAATCGAATAAAAATCATTATCAATGCGAAATACAAAATGTGTACATAAAATA